AGGTATCATCAGTATTTGACAGTGATTCACAGATACATGTATATGTCGAATCCACTTTTGGCAGAAGTATCTTATAAATATCGGAGGTCTATTCGCTTCTATCTGTGTATGGACGTTGACTATTCAAGTATAAACTATATGTCTGACGATACTTACAGGAGAGATGACATAATAAGTACGTGCTCCAGGTATAAATGTATGTGTGAGAAAAACTAAAGACCACACAGTTTAAGTAGACATCATACACTGAACATGCCAAGTCTTTTCTGTCGTATGTCCTCATAAGTGAATTTGTGTGACGAATTCCACTATAGCAATCCAAATAAATCTAAAATTTACAAAAATATCATCCGTGCTTCCAGGAGGAAGTGTGTCTCTAATTTTAACCCTCTTTCTGTTTTCATCACTAACATTTATTATATTCCATATATCTATCCTGTGAACAGTTTCATTTAAAGTAACTTCATCTATTTTGAAAAATAGGACTGCAATATTATGATATGTTGAATTTATATAGAAAATATTAAACTTTTATACCATTGTATATAGTAATTTCTCGTGCTCATGTTTTGTTCTTGAAACCGTTTGAGGCACGGATCTCCCTTAACAAATCACTGATTCGTCAAAATGTACATTTTCGTGAAAGAAGAAATCGGTATTAACTTGTGTAAACACTACTCTCGGCAAACAAGACTCTCTGTATAACAACGGTTAATCAATTCTTTGTCTGTTTGTCGCAAGGAGTTGCCTGTTGTTGCAAGTTAAGATCAAACACCCCCCAACCTTCACATGTACTTCACTGTAACGTACAATGTTAGGCTCAAGTGTCAAAATCTGAAAAACGTAAAATCATCAATTATCTTTCTTTCTCTAAACATTTACTTTCAATGTACTTTTGTTCAAGATTCAAACACTGATGCCGCCAATAAATGTTGACATCACATATATCCTGTCCAAGATAGCTTATGATGAAGGACTGAAAAATGTATCTGAAAGAGAGCGAAAAAGTATGAAAATAATAAAGTTGTCTTTACAGAATTCATTAAGTGCATTTCAATCGTTTCCTTTCTAAAGCAGTCGTTTCAAAATATTTCAACAGCAAATAGCAGATATATATTGATTGAGTTAATATGTTTTTTTAAAGTTTGTCATTTAAAAGAGTATTCTGCTACACAACATTTACTAACTTTGAATGATCTGGGTATTTTATTCAATATCATGGGATGACGCCGATCTGACGCAAGTTCAATGAAATCCACATACAGGCAAAGACAACTTTATTGTAACTTATTTCAGTTCAGAATAAACGTAATAAACTGAAAGGTGACACTGAAACTGCCAGCAATTCAAGAAACCACGCATGTATATGAAGAAACGAGACAGCAATGTGTGGAATGTATGTTTAGTTTTGGAAATGGACCCCAACTTGTACCCTATGTGTATCATCAATTTCATCATGGTCTTAGAACAAATTCCCGTGACAGACTTTTGTAACCCATACTTGCTGAAATAGACTGGTTACCAACTGCATTGTAGTCCATTTACGTAGTACGGTGTTCATGATATCAATCACTGGATTGTCTGGGTCAGACCCGAATATTTGCAGACTGCTCTCATATAGCTTGCGTATTAGTTGTTGAGAAGTTAAACAATAAACAACAAACAACAAACAACAAGTTGCAGTTCCGGATCCCCTGTCTCTGGTTGTCAGTGGTCTAATGAAATTAGGTTCGACACTGGTTATTCTCTGTAGTTTTTTTATAATTTTTATATTGTTGTTAGTATGGATCTCATAAACAATGTCAGCGTATCCTGCACATCGGAACGGTTTCTGTTACCATGAACCCTGAGTCTCTGTAGATATGTAATTTTGATTGAAAATGTGTGTGATACAATTAAACATTATCCCCAGTGAGAAGGGAGATTCAGAACTCTGAGGAAATATAGACTCCATTTAGCGTTTAAGCATTGCAGAAAGGGACTGTGAGATAGACTACTATGAAGTCTAATTATTTTACTGGTCGCCACTCATCGTTTATCTCACTTACCCATTGTTAAATAATAATAATAAATATAAAAAAAATAAAATAAAAAAATAAATAAAAATAATAATAATAAATAAAATAAAATAAAAAAACCCGTTCAAATAATAAACAGAAAAGAGTACACCTGGTAATGTGTGTATCCTCTTACCAACCAGGAACACACGGTATAAACACATGCTCGCCTGGCAAAACACAGGAAAATATGGTGCATGTTAAAAAATGGTTTGCTTCAGACATTATGTTTGTCACTGACGCGGCAAATATGGAAATGTCTGCCATATGTTTACTATAAAATGTTTCGGATACTTTTCTATGACCTTGACATCTTAACCCTGATCCAATAACGTTTGAGCAAGAGTCGTAGGAATACCACTGAATGTTGTTTAACGCTGCAGTCATATTCTAGCGACCAAACAAACCGGTGATTGAACGCTAAGGGAGCAATGCACGTAGTTCGAGATACTGACAAACCGATCCATTAGCCGACGTATGCGACAGCCTAGCTATAAAATTGTAACGTTTAGGACTGACTGACTGACTGAGTTTGGTTTTACGCCGCTTTTAGCAATATTCCAGCAACATCACGGCGGGGGACACCAGAAATGGGCTTCACACATTGTACCCATGTGGGGATTCGAACCCGGGTCTTCGGCGTGACGAGCCAACGCTTTAACCACTAGGCTACCCCACCGCCCCTTAACGTTTAGGAGGAAACATCCATTTAAAATGCAAACGTCATTGAAACCTGAAATGACAAACCTGTCCTGTTCATTCTGTGACATTTACTCTTGAACATAATTACTTCGAGATGTAAATATCACCCCTGTATATGTTTTAGCACCGGTACCTGTGACGGTGTTGTAGAAGAGTTCATCAGGGACTGTACTGTGTACGATAAACCAAGGGCCATATAATATGAAACAATAATAGTACCATAACATGGCTGCTCTCGACACATGGATTGTGATGAGACAGATAAGGTCTGGGTATAGTGAGTGAGTATGATTTTACGCCGCATTTAGTAATATTTCAGCAATATCAAGACGGGGGACACCAGAAATGGGTTTCACACATTGTACCAATTGGGGAATCGAATCCTGGTCTTTGACTTGATCTATCTCACCGCCCACGTTTAGGGATAGGAATAATTTGAATGTCTGTGAATTCAAATTTTGAATTAATGTAAAGTTCTGTATAACTAACAACCACAGGTTTCTGTGCAGATGTACAGTTATCTAGAGCTTATTTACTGTTAGTGTTTACAGAATTCATATCTTTTATCACACCATGGTGATCAATGCATTAATCACAGCATTCACTCAGTCACGTGTTCTATCATTCTGTACTTGTACAACCCATCCTTGTCGTAAGAGGCGACTAACAGGATCGGGTGGTCAGGCCATCTGTTCTGTTGATGCGTGTTGTCGTTTCCCAAATGCGTAGATCGATGTTCATGTTATCAGTCACAAGGTTGTCTGGTCCAGACTCGATTATTAACAGTCCGCAGTAGTTTAGCCATGCATATTGCTGAGTACCGCATTAAACACCAACGAAACAAACCCAATATTCTGTTCGCTGGTAATTCACCAATGAAATACCCGTTAGAACAGGTTACGACATCTTGCGTTTCGAAATCTATACTTCAAGCCATGTAAGTAATTGTCCTTGTCAGCGATATTTCATCACCGTGTACTGAGAATACAATTAACGAATTCTCATATTACATAAAGCGAAATAAAACCAAAACCAGGTCAGGTGTGGTGACTTAACGCTTCAATAAACCACTAGGCTATCCTTCCATGTCACGTAACACGATGGCAAAATCGAAACAGAATATCCAATGTAACTACTGCAAGATTAACAAACACCAGTTCACAATAAATATATTTATTCACACCAATAAGTCTGTACAACACAGCCGTGAGCAATGGTCTATACACAAGGGTAGCACTGGGATGATGGGAGTATCATACATAATGAACTATGTACATTTATACAATTATTACACTTTTCTACCGATCAAGCCTACTTCAATACAAAGCATGATTTATTTAACAATGCTGTACTACACCATTCGGACTTAATTAATTTCGTTTTCAAATATCCCGGAATATTTTAATTTAAATCTGAGAGATATATGAGTAGTGTTTCGTTGGCATTGATCAGTAAATGTGATTCGTATGTACAAGGTATTAATATCTATAAGATATACATTGCAGGTGCTTCTGTACAGATGATAACTACGGGTTTCCTGTGCGAATGTACAAAGATGTGCGGAGCACCTTAGATATACATAGCAGCTTGCAAAGTTTATGTACATATGCGCGGGTTATCATACAAGCTATTCCTGTTGACACGTGCCTTGACACCTGGTGTCTGTGAAGGTCATTACACCAGCAAACCGGTGTCATGTGCTGTCTCACCAGCTTATCTGTGACACCCGGTGGCATGTTTGCAACAGTTCGAGGTTAATACTGGTGCAGCGGCAGAACCTCATCGACTTCAGCTCATATTGGGTGTGTGGTCACACGTATACTGAATACTAGGAGGATAAATAGTATTCAGGACCTATTGAGCTGAACCTCGAGAGACCACTGATGATACAGAAACCATATCCAGAGGATACAATTAGTATCGGTGATTCCGTTTGTATGTAGAATATATTGTCCCCTTGTGTTATTAATTCATGTCCATATCTAACGAATTAATGTCCCTAAATGTTAGCACTTCCATGATTCGATACTGTTAACCTGTGATAGTGGCTTAGGGTTGCGAATCCAATCTACAACTTGCGACGTTGACACAACCCATACATCTTCCATTCTTGACAGCTCTTGGAGGAAATCCATGAGTGCTTCGAAGTTGCCGGTCTTCCTGCGGAACCAGGAAGCGTGGAGGAAGATGCCGAGGGGAGATCGGTTGGTTTTATAATGCCTGTTGAAGTTATCATGTAGGTACTGCAGAGTGCCCTTCCTTCCGGCACCAATCATACAACCATCGGGCATGGCACACGCCATCTTGTTGGAACCGTACCATCGGACAAGGGGGACCTCCCAGAGACCGGGGTAGGAGCCTTGGGGACAGGGGGTCAGGGAACAGGTTTTGGAATCTGGGGGTAATCAAGGGTGAAGGGCCAGACAGGGGGCTTTTCGTTTCGGTACAGATGGCCCGTCACCATGGACGTGTCGTAAAGGTATTTGTAGTCTCGCAACATCTGATACTGGTCATCGCCTCCGATCTGCAAGAACGGAACTCTCATTCCCTTGATGGCATCTTTGGGGATGTTGCTCTTGAGGGACAACTTCTTTCTCATGCCTTCTATTTCATGAACATATCCTTCATAGCCTGCATGAGCCCACCATGTGGTGGGTGATCGGTGAGACTGACTGTGCGAGGCAATTTCCTGCCCTTTCTTGAAAAGCTTCTCCACTAGGTGGTACTGGGTTGCGTCACCGGACACGAAGAAGGTTCCTTTGACGGGACAGCCGTTGGGGTTCTTGAATTTCCCATCAAATAGTTTCTCGTAGTAGTCAAAGTTGGCAATATTGACGCTGTCGTCGAAGGTGAGCATGACCATCATGGGTGTCTGAGTGACGGGGACACCGCCGGGAATGTCGGAACCGATGCAGCGACAGTCTGGAAGCTGGCAGGTGGTAGGGTCACATTTACCTGGAACACGATATAGAGGGTATACAGTATTTGACAAAAACACATCTTTACAAATATGGTCTGTTTGTTTGTTTAACGCTGCACCCAGCAATATTCCAGCTGTATGGTGGTCTGTGATTAATAGAGTCTGGACCAGACAGGCCAGTGATCAACAGCATGAGCATCGCTCTATGTGGCAACCAAATCAGAATGTCTGACCACCCGATCCCGTTAATCGCCTCTTACGACAAACTTGGGTTGCTGAAGACCAATTCTAACCCGGATCTTTACGGTTGGTCTGTTTGTAAACACTGGAGTAAGTTATGACGAGTTCGATCCCGCCCTTACTTAACAAATATCTTTTCGGACCTTTTCTTACATAATAAATAGAGAATATTATATTCGTGCCCATATCATACTATGTTTACGACACGAGTGTCTAAATGTTGGTATTTCCCGAGCGAGAGTGAGGGGTACCGATATTTAGGCACGAGTGTCGTTAGCATAGTATATGGGCACGAATATAATATTCTGTTTATTACCGAAGTCGTGAAATTGAGGAAAATAACCCAAATCTAGTTTCAAACATAGGCTGTCTACCCGCCGTCACAGCATATAGAACGCAACGTCACAGAAGAAACGTGACGTCATAGCATTGTTCATGACGTCACGTCACCATGACAAAGTGATAGTTTGCCCTCGGGCATCGTATGAAAAATATGAACCCAGATATGTTCGCCCTCGTAGGTAATAAATACATTCAAACACTGCTGTGACGAACTCGGATATGTCGACCATACGGTTGTCACAAAGTATTCATATTTTCTTTGCTTGTGTCGAACCTCGGATAACTCGAGGTATCTGCGTAGGTCCCTACAACTTCGACACAACGATGTCTTTTTAATGATTGTGAATGCTTACAAGGAAGCGACGTGGTGCTAAGGAGAAGAGGATTAGAAGAATTAATCCTTGAAGAAATATCTTTCTTCCTTTAAATCAAAGAACCCCTAGCATACTTACTAGTAAGTCCTTATCGTTTCATTTTATGAAAACATGTTTTAACTAGAGGATTTATTGTGTCAACAACACTGCTTGTGGTATGGTCATCTGTATATGAAGTCACTTTCTTTAGAAACCTCATTTCAAGTCACCTGTCAGTACAAGTACACCGATCTAAACATGGCTTATCATGAAACATGTCGATTACAAAACAGCGTCATGTAAAACCTTGTCAAACATTGTGTTTAAACTTCTTTCGACAGAATATCCTGTAGAAGTCAATCCTGTATACAACAAGCGAGTTCAGAAGAGAATGTGCATGTCCTCAATCAAAGGTCCAATGTTTGCTTAAAGTTCTTCGAAGGAAGTTCCTTGACTGAAAAGAAAACACTGCAGCGGGGTTTTTTAAAAGGAAAGTTTTTTGTTTTTCATTTAGTTTTATGGCTGTAGGAAGATCATGTCTCGAGGACATGCTAGAGAGCGAGAGCTGTCAACATTACTCAAAATCAGATGTGCCACCTTCATTTTTTAGGAGCCGAAATCACGAACAGTAAAGACGAATGTTTAACATAGAAACTTCATCTCAGGTCAACATAAGGTTTTATTCGTGATTCTGCATAAATGATAAACAAATATTTGAGAACGACCAACACTACGGCAAAGACGACCAGAAAGGTTTACAGACTCGTCACGCTTGGAGATTATAGGGCATGTTTTGTCTACATATACACATTCTGACAACAGCGAAAACAAAACAATAACAGTCTAAACAGTCCCCTATAAATGACATAACGTGTCCTGGATGCTCTGTCGGCTGTCAAGTTAAAGAATACAGCACGTATGTTTACACTCCTAATTCACTCGGTTTACAAGTAACTTTGGTGTTATTTTCCACATCTAGCTCTTGGACAACATTGAAAAATAGCCTGAATTAACACACTGGACTTGTTAATTTGTGGTACTCATCCTGCCAAATACCCAATCCAACCTGCATCCTCGATGCTACCTGGTTAGCGTATTTTCCAGGTGCTCGTGATTGTGTTTTATCGGCATAATCTAATTACACACACGCCGGGGGATGTTGGTGACGGGCTGCGGCAAACATTGCTCATGCGACAAAAAGCAACACACACATTGAAGGACGATATTGTGGCCTTGTGGTTGAAGCAGTCGCCCAATACCCTACGACCTCGGCTTGTCATTTTTAGTGAGCAATTCATATAATTTTAACAGCTATTTTGCTTTAACGCCCACCGGAATATAAAAAGTGTTATGGCAGATAATCGTGACCGACTATTCTTTAACGTTGGTGTTGGTGCTGGCGTTGTTGATATGTCTAAGAAAAGACAAAACTTTGTGTCCCTAACCTAATAATTTCTAAAAGTGGTGTTTAGCCACGCTCAGAATCTCTATGATTTTCTAGGGCTTCAATCCTACCTCACAACGAAGCAAATGTGATACATGTATTAGACAAGTGCATTTGTTCACAATTGCCTCTGTTCACCCAGTGGAAAATGGGCACCCGGTGGGATAAATCATGTTACTATAACCTTCTAGCGTCGAATAGGCAGCTTGGGTTATCCGGGGTAATACTGTCTGTGTTATTCATTGTCAGCGCTATGAGCATACCTGGAGTGGAGCTTGGCGCTATATAAATGAACACATACCATTATGCTGAGATATTAGCTCCTTTTACAATAACTACGAGTTGTATAAGAGGATTTCAAAATACGGTTCTGACACAATTAATAACATCAAAATTAAATTCTATTTCCTTCAATTTACCTTGCTGAATTCTTCCATTCAGACCAAATAATGTTTCGCAACCTAATTGGTCTTCCTTATATAATACAATAATATCACCTAATAATCACTTAAAACCGTTCAGGGGCGGTGGGGTAGCCCAGTGGCTAAAGCGTTGGCTCGTCACGCCGAAGACCCGGGTTCGAATCCCTACATGGGTACAATTTTTGAAGCCCATTTCTGGTGTCCCCCGCCGTGATGTTGCTGGAATATTGCTAAAAGCGGCGTAAAACCAAATTCATTCAGTCAGTAAAACCGTTCAAAGAAAAAGCAAAAAGAAGAAAAGCACACAGAAGACAAATTATACCAAACTGAGCGGATCATCAGACACTCATGTTTAAAACAGGTTTCAAATAATTGTTAATTTAAATTGAATGACATGTGTCCTCTGTAACCCCATGTGTTGGCAATTGTGATTAACAGTAAACGTCATCTTACCCAGACAAATGCATCAGGTGCCAATCCCGGATAACAGTAATCCCTGTCGAATCTATAAACGCTGATTGAACTTAGACTTATAGGCAAATAGATAAACAGAGGTGTACATGTGAGAGGTGAAGGAGTGCGCTGTAGTCCGAACTGTAGGACCCGTGCCAACACTGGAGAACACACCACATGACAGACGCCCTTTGCAGATGGTTGGAAGTTCATTGATCGAGGCTTACCTATTCATTTAGAAGCAAGCGTAGGTTACGTTGAATGTAGGATTAGGACAACTACATCGACTTTCACAGAATAGAGAAGTTGTATCCATAAAATTAGCATCTTACTTCAATGAAGGATTGGCTTGTTTTAATGTTTTGTGATCAGATTAATGACCACTACTGCCGTGACTTGACATGTCTAAGTTATGTCGTGTCTCCATGTCAGGAGGGCTGGATTTGCGTGTAGAAAAACTTTAAATTATCATGTAAAGTACGTCGGGTTCACTGCATTTGTTTGAGTTTTTATGTTAAACTTGAAAAGAATTTTAATCTGCCCTGGAAATTCGACATATTCTCTTTCGAAAGAATGGTAATGATTTGATTCATTTCTTTTTAAACTAAGGCGCTCTGTCGCACGTTGTCCGCCACTTGAGGTTTGGGTTTCGAGTAACGCAATGTATGTTGTAGAAATGGTCAGCGTTTTTAACCTGGGGGTAAGGTCTTTCATGGAACTCAAGCTTTAAATCCAACTGGGGTTTGAACAACATTAAACAACCCTGAAACAGCTGCAAAGTTTGTTTCTTTTCGATTACTGCAAAACCCTCACCTGCAACAAAGTATTTTTAATCCCTGGATAATTAAATCCTTTCACGAACACCCAGTGTGACGATGCCATCCTGTGCTGTGGCTTTTACGTGGGTTTTTTTAATCATTGACACAATTCAAACGAAAAGTGTGTGTGTAGACGATGCCCCCGGTTGAATTTGAAATTTGAATATCCTTGGACACGTATATCACTACAAAGTACATATATTCCGAACTCTACTAAGTTGACATACTTAAAAAGGTCGTATACAGATCTGTAACATGCATCCCTAAAATGCCAGATCTAGTTTTTCTTGTACACCCTGCATCCCGCACCCAACCACAGACCACAAAACCAGCAGAAAAGTTCGTCTTTATAACATACTGTAACATAATATATTGTAAATATCGTGTGTTAGAAAACTGTGGGTATTTCATCAACGTTGAACAACAATTTTGTATTTAAAATTGAGATTTTACCAACATTCGGATTACTTGAAGTCAGATTACTCTTTATCAATATTTTACCATATATGTTTATCATGCCAGGGCGTTTTTTCATTCATTTTTTTTCAGCCGTTGGCATTCATTTAATGTTAAATACTGCTCGAACTTGCTTGTGTATGACGTGCGACTTGTAGCATGGCCTCAACACCTAAATCTGAGAACAAACTCCAAGACGTGATTGTTTGTGTGTATTATATGCTTGCAAATATTATCTGTGCAGAGTGTAGCTGTTTGTTGAAGAATTTTCAGCTTAGTGCATGCTTCAAACCTAGGTTGTTTTCCTCTTTGAAGCTGCACCTGTAGCTGTTTACGGGAGAGAGTGGGGAAACTGATGCTGTCTTTCGGAAAAAGAAGGTTTGTATTAACATGCATTATTGTCGTTTGTGTCAAAACTACCAAACATAACACAATTTGGAACGGGGGTTGAAAAAAGCGCACAAATTTGATATTGTTATGACATAATGGGATACGTCGATAAAAGAA